GGCAACCAAAGTGCTTCCTGGTAGCTCCTCTACCACCTCCAGACCCCCTACAAACAACCAGGCTTCTACAACCAAATATCATTCAAAAGAGGGTTTTCTGGGAAGGTAGAGTCTTGGAAGAACCTAAATTGGCAGTTCCTGGCAGTAAGAGTAAATTAGTCAGTAAGTTGCTTGTAAGAGCGCAGGCTTTGAGTAGGAAATCAGTTTCAAATAATTGAAATTGATGTTTGGATAAAGCATAGGATATATATAAGGACTATTGTGAGGTGATAAGCTTAGTAGCTTTGCCATCAGAGACCAATACACTTTTATCTTTTCTTGTTTGGCTGGACCTGGTACATTCCTTTTCAAGATATATGAACTTCCTAGCAGCAGTATCAAGAGAGCACTTAGAACATCAGTTTACGAATCTATCTAAGGATTATAGAGTTAAAAGAATATGTAAAGCATTAATAAAGGAATATAAGAAAGATAAAGAACCAAGATAGCTCCGTGACCCTCTAACAGTCTCTGCCTTAAGGCAGTTCATTGACAAGAAGCCATATTTTATGAATAGGGATTATTGGATACGTGATGCTGCTTTGGTAGCTATTGGTTTGAGAACTATGTATTGTCCAGGTGAATTGTGTAAATTGAAACTTAAGGATATTAAATTTGGAGACAAATTATGTTGGGTACATATAAGCTTTTCTAAAATAGATCAATTTGCCAATAGAAAGTTTATTCCTATAGAATATATGAATAGTCGCTACTGCCTAGTTAGGTTGTTAAAAAAATATTTGTTAATAAGGCCAAAAACTACAGAGAATGAGCCTCTTTTTTTGTCAAAGCAAGGAAAACAATTGACAGTTGGGGCTGTTAGTTCTAATGTTAAAAGAATAGCAAGTAATGCAAAAGTAAAGAGTAGATTTATAGCTCATTGCATTAGGAATGGTAACACAACAGCTGCAATAGAAGCAGGTTTGTCATTGATACAAATATGGGCTATAGAAGGTTGGGACAGTAAAGCAGTTATGTTATATTTGAGGTCTGTTAGAACAGCAAAGTTGTAGTTTTCTAAAAGATGGGGTTTTCTAGCTAGCAATCCTCTTCCATCCCATATGTTCTTCAGATTTTATAAATAAAGTTATTCAGTTTTTTGTATAAAGTCAGCTGATCAAGCAATAATAATAAAAAGCCTGTCAACGAAGTGACAGGGCGATCATTATTGTGAGATCAGATGACTTTATGATCTATCATGAACAGGTTTTTGTTATATATCCTTTTATGATTATTCTTTGATTATTGTCGTGAGATTTTGTAACTTGTTTTTTACAGGTAATTTTAGATTGCATATGATTTTGATATTCACATGGTTATGATTATTGTTAGATCGATAGTGGGGTAAGAGATATATGTTATTTCACCAACAATCACTTCACAGACAACTTAGTTCACTGACAATCAATTCACAGACAATTTCATTTCACTGCCAATTATTTCACTGACAGCTCATTTCACTTACAAGTATTTTTTATAAATTAAACTAACCTTAGCTCTAATTCTAACCTAACACTAACAACAATGACCAGAATTATTTTGTCAGCAAAATGTTGTTGGTAAAATAATTGTCAGTGAAATGAACTTGTCAGTTAATTAATTGTCAGTGAACTAAGCTGTCAGTAAAGTGATTGTTGGCAAAATGCACACCACTTGGGGTTAAGAGATAATGACTATGACCGAGTATGAACCAGTGATATGGGAGAAGTATTTAAGGCCAAGAAATTCAGTAGAGAAGGTTATCTTTCTTTTTGCTTTCACTCGCCTTGTAAAGGCTAGCTCTATCTCCCTCCCTTACCCACCCGAAATCAAGTAAGCAGTATTGTTTCTTTTGTTGTATCAGGCTCCATGGCTGCATTAGCAGTGCAAGGACCTGTAGTGTACCTGGCTCCACGGCTGCAAGTAGCAGTGCAAGGACCAGAGGTAGTTTGGATCCATGGCTGCGAGGAGCAGTGCAAGGACTAATTGTTGTATTTGGCTTCACGGCTTCAAGTAGCAGTACAAGACCAGTTGTTGTAGTGGTTCCATAGCTGCAAGTGGCAATGCAGAGACTATAAGAATGAACCTCGATCATTTCGGCAGAAGCATAGTTACCGATTCTCTTTTTAGCCATGAGAAGACTCAATGATTCTCTCTGGGTAAAGGTATACTGATTCGTGAATAGTTTTGGATCATATCTGTACCTGTGAGGCAGACAGGACACTATGGGTGTCTCTTTTGTGTTTGTTGTGTGATGAATACATGTCATTATGATAGAAAATGTAATTATATATATTAGAGCCAATAAGGATAGGAGCCCTTATCCCATATGTTCTTCAGATTTTGTAAATAAAGTCATTCAGTTTTTTGTATAAGGTCAGCTGATCGAGCAATAATAATTGGGAAAAACTGACCTAGTTGAGTATAAAGTGAGGACAAGTGGCAAGGAGATTTCGTCTTTAAGATTAAGATCTATTTGACTCAATAATCTGGAAAAAGCTAAGAAATTTAAAGACTATTTGAACATATGGTTAAATATGGTCTTTTAGAAAAAAGATCAGGTCAATACGCTTACTATTGCTTTCCCGTTGCAAAAAAAGAAGGTGAAACAGATAAGATTAGGGCTGTCAAAAATATTAAGCCCCTGAATAAATATATTGTAAAGGATAGTTACCTATTACCCTTGATCTGAGATATCTTAAAAAAGGCTGCCAGGCATGATTGGTATTCCAGCATCGATGCCTTTAAAGAGAATTGGCAAATTAAAATCTGCGAACAAGATCATGATAAAGTTGCTGTAGCTACAAGTCTAGGAATATTGAGATATATGATCATGTGCATGGGCTTAAAAAATGCCAGTAAAACTTACCAAAGAATGATGAGTTCTTTTGCTTCTGCATCATTCGTAATTGGAAAAGTGAATTTCATAGTGGTTTTGATTTTGCTGATATCTTTGGGTAATAGGGCTTTAACAATAAAGAAATTATTTGGTAGGAGTTTGAAGGTATAGTATTCTCTAAGCACAGTAATGACATCTGTGAGAGGAATCAAAGAGGTAGCTGGGTTGAATAGAAAGTATTTTCAAACTACATGGTTGAGTTCTTGGTAAGTTGAAGGAAGGGGCTTTTTGGGGTGGGAGTATAAAGTAGGTATCGGGGATTTTGGTTACTGTGTAGTAGTCTGCTAGTTTTCTTTTATATGCTGCTAGGTGCTGAAGAGAGGATCAATGTGAGATTGGGAATAGCTGGTGAAGGCTAGCAGGGAGAGTACTGTAGTGTGAAGGTAGGAGAGAAAGTTTAGCAAAGTAGGTTGCTAGTAACTCTGGAAATTTGAAGATTCTTCTCAGAGTATTGACTATTGCTCTTGTGTGTAACTGTTGTGTAATTAGAAGCTTAAACAGGAGAATGTTTTGGATTTCTGTGGGGATTTGGTCAGGCATGTCTGAAAGTGGCATTAGTTTGCTTTCTAGTGCATTATTGATTTGGGTTTTAATTTCTTTGGGGGTCTGTTTATCTAGGTTTTTGATTTGTAGGAAGCCTCTGGCATACTGAATTACTTTGTATATTTGTCTTGGTGGGATGTTCGCAAAGTTGAGGTTAGAGATATATTGTAAAATAAGCATCCTCTTAAGCATTGTATAGATAGTATTGTGGGTTGTAGTGTTGGTAAGTGTAATTTTATTATCTTTTTTATATACTATAAGAGCTCTGTCAAAGAGGTTGGTATATTCTTTTTGGTGTGTGAGTGTGGTTTTGGAGTTGTGGGTAAATGTTGTAAAGAATCTGGTATCAAAGTGTACAAATTTTAGAAGGATTGCTTCTGGCAATTTAGATTGAGTAGGTATAGTAGTTAGCTTGTAGCAAGTGAGTTTGTATATGCCTTCTGGGGTAGTAAGTGCAGTTGCAATTGCATCATATATCCAGGTCTCTGTATTGAAGAGGGTGTTAGAGGGTGTGGAAATTCTGCTATATACAATTGTGGTACATTCCATGTTATTAGGGGCATTAGTAACTAGTAATTTGAGGTTGGTTTTAGTAACTTGTCTGTATGATAATTTGGTTGTAGAAGCCTGGTTGTTTGTAGGGGGTCTGGAGGTGGTAGAGGAGCTACCAGGAAGCACTTTGGTTGCC